TCTCTCTCTCTCTCTCTCTCTCTCTCTCTCTCTCTCTCTCTCTCTCGCTCCCGCTCTCTCTCTTTCTCATTCTCTCTCTCTATTTCAGCTGCGAAAAAATATCGACACCGTACCAGAGCTACACGGGACCCTCCACTCCCCTAACTGGAACAAGACCACACTGATGTGCCACTCGAAGGGCTGTGACGTCATTCTAAAAATCCTGGAGAACAATATCGCACAGGTGGCAGACATGGCGAAGGTTAGTCAGTGCACGGATGATGATGATGATGATGATGATGATGATGATGATGATGATGATGATGATGATGATGATTTTTTTGTTTTGTTTCCTTAATGAGCCTGGTGGACTCCACAAAGAAATCTTCGAGCGAGAGCGAGGCTCTTTTTCAGCTCCATTGTCATTATACTCAGAGGCACCTCCACTCGTCCAAATAACTCAATTCGAGTTGTCATTGTTCCTGGACATTCAAACACGTGTTTGACATCCTCCTTGTCATGGCTGCATCTTCGGCAGGGGAAGCTCTGATGATGATCATGATGCTGATGATGATGGTGTTTTTCATGATGATGATGATGATGATGATGATGATGATGATGATGATGATGATGATGATGATGATGATGTGTAATTGTGGTTGTAATCATCTTCATCATCTTTTACCTTCGTTGTCGTAATCCCGTTTAAGATCATAATTGCTATTATCACCATCGTATCTACATACTAAAATTCTTTTTTATAGGCTGCCATCTATCTGGACCCGTTCAGTATCCATTCAAGGAAAGCTCCAAAGGTCAAAGTTCGCATCCCGTCATTCTCCTACCTATCAGCTCTCTCGGAGAAGTTTCCTACCTGTTGTATCAAAGGATTTGGATACAGGTACATGTATATTGATGCACCGTAATAGGAAAGATTATTTCTTTCTTTGTATGGCTCTTTCTCTTTTTTTCTCTTGTTCTTTCAGTCTTTCTCTCTCTCTTTCTCTCTTTCTTTCTCTCTTTCTCTCTCTCTTTCTCTCGCTCTCTTTCTCTCTCTCTCTCTCTCTCTCTCTCTTTTTTCCAGTTATCTCTGAATCTCGCTCTCCCCTCTCGTTCACTTTGCTACTGCCTGATTATCCTTCTCTTTCTCTCTCTCGGGTTTTCTTTTTCTCATTAAAAAAAAATCTTTCCCCCGCGCTCTCACTCTCTTACAGGTTCTATTTCACGATTTTTAATAATTTACAAATGAAATTCTTTTTTTCTCTTCTTTTTTTTTCTGAGCAGATCTTTCTTTCATTCTCAATTGTTTTTTCGTTATTATTCTTAACGGTTCTCTTTTTTGTCCCCTCCCCCTCCTCTCTCTTACTCTCTTCCTCTTTCTTTCTCTGTCTGTCTGTCTGTCTGTCTGTCTGTCTGTCTGTCTGTCTGTCTGTCTGTCT